CTCAGACTGGGACTGAGACTCAGAAGGCATTTGGGTGCCCAAGCTCGATTTCTGTAGGCACATGTGGGAAGGGGATGTGCTGTGTTGTTTGTCTTTGATTTGGAGAAGTTTTGTTTGTCATGTTGATCCTCTACTTGAAGGCAAATCCAGGTGTCCTGAGTATAAGGCTGTGTTAGTTACCCCGGGAGAGCTGGCTGCTTTGGATTTTGTGGTCCCCCCCAGCTCTGAAGCCCTTTGGGAAGATGCTGAAAGCTGAGCCATTCTTATTTTCGTTCACTTGCATTCAGCCAAGTGGAGCCCAGAGGATTATGGAGCCAAACTGTTGCGACGATACCGAGAAAACTTGGTGGAGCTCCTCACAGACACCCAGGTGCTGCTGCAGGGCATCTCTGCTGCACAGAGCCTGGCTCCTGCTGAGAGAGAGGTAAGCAGTCTCCTGCACGTGTGCAAGCAGATACTGAGCTTTAATCCCCATCTGGGATCCATATCCAGTCCTGAGGACTTGATTTACTGCCTGTCATAGAATCATCAAGAGATCATTAAGTCCAACCATCAACCCAACACCACCATGCCTGCTAAACCAGGTCCTGAAGTGCCACATCTACACACTTTTTGAACCCCTCCAGGGATGGTGACTCCACCACTGCCCTGGGCAGCCTGGTCCAAGGCCTGACCACTCTTTCACTAAAGACATTTTTCCCAATATCCAATCTGAACCTTCCCTGACGCAACTTGAGGCCATTTCCTCTCCTGTCACTGGTTACTTGGTAGAAGAGACCCACCCCTGGCTGACTACCACCTCCTTTCAGGTAGTTGTAGAGAGCGAGAAGGTCTCCCCTCAGCCTCCTCTTCTCCAGTCTAAACAATCCTAGTTGGCCAGGTCATGGCTTGGTTTGGGGCAGTCCTCCAGCAGGACTCGGTTTAATGATTCCTGAGTATCCCATAGTGTGAGTGAAGCAGGTGAAGTATATGAAGCTGAAGGTTGGCAAGTAAGAGTGGCTGATTTGGGCACTGAGGAGAGATGCTCAGCTTTGGAGCGAGTTGAGCAAATGGCTGATGTGTTCATGTGAAGAGCTGGGATTCGAAGTGGTCACTGCTTGAGTGGCACCGTGAGCCAGGTCTTCAGCAGGGTGGGAGCAAGGGAAGGCTGGGTGTGGGGCAAGCCATGGTCGTGGCTGGGCATGACGCAGGGTGGATGGTTGGGGTCCCTTGTTGGTGCCTCACTGTGGGTCTTCCCAAGGCGATGGAGCAGGCTGTGAAGCGTGAGGCTGGCGGTTTCGCCTCCCTCGTGTCGGCGGCCCTGGAGGAGCGGTCTCTGTCGGTCTCTGCTGTTTGGCAGCTGCTGCTGGCTGTGCGGGAGCCTGCACCGCTGAACCTGCTCATGGAGGAGATCCGGAAACAACCCGGCGCAGAGTTCTTCTTCCAAGCAGGTAACGGCCTTGGTGTTCCTCCGTGCTCTCCCTGAACTCCTGCTGCTGGCAGGAGCTGCTTGCTAACTCCTCAACCTCTCCTCAGCAAGGAACCTCTGCTTCCAAGGGGTCCCAACACCCATGTCCTTGGTGAAACAGTGGATTGGTTGGGAAAGCGCTTGTGTCCACAAGCGTGGCTGCTTTGCTTCTGACTCTCTGCCTTCAGGTTTTGTAATGAGCAAACCTTTTGAGAGTTGGCCACCATCCTGTGCTGATAACCAGCTGGAGGCCCATCAGACTGAAAGCACGGGTTTCGTTGGAGGTCTGTGTACAGCAACCACCCTGTCCTCCTAGAGCCTTGGCCTCTGGCTTGGAGTTTGCCTACTTTAAAACCTAAACTGTGCTTTTCCCCCAAAACTGTTGCCAAAATCTCATGCGAGTGTGAGGAGTGCTCAAGCTGGTGGTCTCAGGGGGCAGGGGAGGGAGGCTGTGCAGAGCCCGGCTCTGTGTGCTGGCCCTGTGGGTGCAAAGCTGGGGTCTACCTGCCTGCAGTCAGGTGCCTGTGGTGTAGCTGCCTCCATCCGAACTGCTCTCCTCCATCCCCTCCATGCTCAGCCCAGAGAAACCGAGCTCTTCTGGTGCTTGGTGCATCTGGCTGCTTTTTATGTGGCTGTCCTCGGATGAGGCAAATTGTGCCTAGAAATGCCTGTTTCTGTGCAGAAGTCAGAAAGGGAAATCGGAGGAGAGAAGAAATCCTCAGTCTTGGGAGAGCCATGCCTGCCTTTTGAGGTTGTCATTGTCTCTTTCAGCCACGTGTTTTGGAAAACCTGATCTTCTCACCCAAAGTTGGACAAGCAGTGAGAAGTGAGATCTGTTGGGGCTTTATGCTGGATGTCGGTGCTGCATAACCAAAGCTTGCCTGTTCTTGTTCGCTGTTTCCTATGCCCTAAAGAAGTCACTCTTGCTGTTAACAGCTCACCTGCAGGAGTGGGCTGGACAAAGCTAAGCGAAACTAAGGCCTTCAGGTTCTCCTTGGGTTTTGTGTTTTTAAATACCTTCACTTTTCATTTTCCTCTTCAGTGGCCACCAGTGAGAGCACAGCCATTGAGATCATCCTGCGGCACAGCAAGCTGATCTCGGAGGCCATTCAGCAGAGAGCAGACCTGGAGAGCTTGGCTCCGGGGGAGGCAGGACTCACAGAAGCAGTGAAAGAGGTGCGAGGGGATGTTCTCAGAGCCAGCATGGTTTGGGGCTCAAAGGGTGGACAGGCCGTGGAGTGCACTGAAATGAAGGGACATTACTTAGGTTGAGGAAGCCATCCAAGTTGGAGGATTCCTAGAGAATAATAGAATTGTTGAGGTTGGATAAGACCTCTAAGATAATCAAATCCAACAAGAGATGAATAACAGAGCTGCCAGGGGGTGGGTTTCCATTTGAGTTGGTTATTCCAGGACAGATGAGAATGAAACACTGCTAGAAGATGCACTGAAGATGCCATGATCATGTAGCGTCCCAGAGTGCCTTGCCTGTCTTCCCTTGGGTGGGAAAATGGGCTGTGTTAGTAACGAGCTGGCCCTTTCAACCACGTAGTCTGCAGTTGCTCATTCCTCTTCTTGTTAGCTGCTGTTGGAGATCTGGAAGGGTGAGATACATATGGGTATGCACAGATCCTCACCTGGGTTCTCACTGCGGTGGCTGTCTAAATTGGGTTTGGATTTGGAAGGGAGAGAAAAGCCCAGAGAGAGTTGTGTGTGACGGACAGGTTTGTGAGTTAGGTAAGCCTGGACTGCTGTAAGGCATTGAGGGACGGCTCTTTCCGTGGAAAGGTGGTTTTAAGTGAGCTAATACCAAAACAGAAAGTCTGAGAGTTTAATTTGCTTTAACTTTTTTTTTTAATCCTGAAATTCTGTCAGCTCGTGCAAATACATCAGTGGAGGGGCAAAGACCTGTATGGAAAGGGATTTCTTTTCTGCTTTCTCAAAGCAGGTTCCCAGCAGTAGAGATGAAACAAAGTGGACGTGCCCTCACTCCCAGACCATCTCGACCTTTCACAGCCCAAAATTTCGGTCTTGTGATGTTTTTTCTTCTGCTTACTTCTTCAGCTGCTGAGCATTTCTGCTCAGAAGGAAAGTTCAGAGGCCTCCTTGAAAGCAGCTCTGAGCACAGCCCAGGAGAAGTCTGTCCCAGCCATCAAGATCTGTCAGCTGCTGTGCAGTGTCCACGAGTCCTTCCCAGACCTGCAGCCGGTGATGCAGGAGCTGGGGCACGTGGGTGAGGAAAGCACAGGCTTTCATCCTTGTGTGATCTCTTACACACGGTTGTGGGAGTCGTGGGCAGTTTGGTAGTGGACCTTGGCGTCCTGGTGGCCTGAGGTTATTTCACAGAACTACCTGTGTCCAGATGCTGGGGTTGGGCTTGCAGGAGGGTTCACAGGGGTGACCTCTGGATCTAAGCGCAGGAGTGTGCATTTCTCCTGCCAGTAAAATACACCAGATTAAAGTTTGGAATGTTACAAGGGTTGTAGAGGTTGTAGCTGCCCCCTTACTGGTATTCCTTAACTGTGTTTGCATTTTTCCACCCCAGCCATTGCTCGGTAGCATTTAAGCAACTTAGTTATGTAATTTGTATCTATATTGGATTATTTTTCACAATTTTTTTCCTTAACCTGTGGGGTTTCTTTGGCTCTTCCTGTACTGTTGGATCCGTGTGAATTTGACCTTGCATTGCAATCCTTTGACTTTCTCTGTGTGCGTGTGGATACTTCACAGGCTGATTGTGAAAAGGTCACATCGGAGCGCACTTGTCTGGTGCGAAGATGACCACAATGGTGCATTTTGTGGTCCCAGACTAGTTTTTGAGTCTGTTTTCTCATTGTGCTTTAGTTTGGGCTTGCTATGCATACACTTCACAAAGCACATGATCCCCTGGGAGGGTCCCACAGCAGTAGGGGAACGTTAGGTACTTTACTAGTTTGGCAAAGGTGTGAATGAAATTTATGCCGATAGCACTGTGGTGAACTCCAGAAACAAAAGCATAGCAATAACCATGTGTGAGACCCTGCCCTGAGCTGTGGGGTGCTTTCCAGCTGAATTGTATCTCTGCATCCCTCATCTGAAGGAATAATGCTTAACTGAACTTGGTGCTTTAATGAAAAAGGTAATGAGGGCCGGGAAGCTAATTACAGGTTTGCATTCTCTTGAAAAGGATGCAAATGTGACTTGCTCATTCTGTTTGCTTGCATACATTTTTATGGCATTGTGCTTCCCAGCGCATCCAAGTGCAGATTCTTTGGGCTGTGGAGTCCACTGGGATGTACACAGTGTGATTTTTATCCAGGCACAGGTACTGGTTCAGCCTAGTCCGTCCCTGTTTACTCGTGGTGCCAGAGCTGCAGTGTAGAAATACTAGCAAATTTCTAGGTAGAGTAAGCAACTTGTTATTAATGTCTCGTCCTTTTTTAGGGGTAGAAAGTTTGCTGGAAAATTTGGGTCAGGACCACGACCGGTCTTTGTGAACGAACAGAAGCCTCCTGGCTCTGACACTCGCCGTTGTTTCGTGTTTGACAGTGACAGGCGAAGCCAGTGTTCCCCGTGCGCTGGAAGCAGCAGAGTGACCTGTCCCTAGGTCAGTCTCTGCACCCTGGGTTTGCCCCCATTCCAGAGCAACGGGGGCATTTTGTTGGGGTGGTAGATGGGACTGGGTGACTCGGAGCAGTATGCATGTAGAAGAAACTGAGGACCTGGCTTACTGCTCTAGCTGTAGGGCTCAGAGGGTGAGGCATGTGCTCCGCTCCCCTTTCTTGACTCGGGGGCCTTAGGACATCTCTCAGGGAGACCACTATACTGTAGATCCGGTATTCATGCCCAGTTCAGATCTGGGTCCTCTCTTCCAACTCCACCAAGAATTGCCACTGATCCAGTTGACTTTTTCACCACATCACGGCTGATGATTTCCAGAGAAAAGGCAATTTCTTGTTCACCTCATCACGGCTGATGATTTCCAGAGAAAAGGCAATTCATTCTTATCTTCCATTCCTTCTCTGTCTCCTTCTGATGCTGCAGGCACTTGCTGCACTCCCCTAGATCCTGTCTGACCATGGGATGTGCCAGGGCTCATGCCCTGATGGCTCTAGAGGAGGTAAGCCAACAAAAGTTGCACGTGCCTGTGAAGGTGCAGCCCACCTTAGCTCCTGGACACCGTACAGCGCTCACCAGCGAGGGACTTGGGGAGTCAGCTAGATTGCTCTGGCAGATGCCTGCTTCTCTGGCACCAATATCAAAGAGAGCGACTGCTGTTACTAAATGTCTTTGCAGGGCTTCAAGCCAAGGTTGAGATAAAATCAAGCAAGAAGCGACATCAAAAACAAAAGCCCTGGAAAAACAGTATTTACTTGGCAAAAACGTATATTCTGTGTGAAGCGTCCAGAGGAGCGTTGCCACTTACCAGCCCCTTCTTGGCATCCTACAGATCTTTACACTGAACTTCCATACCTTAATTTCTAGGCTTAATTTCTCTTCAGCTCCAATACCACTGCTTGTCAGCCCTCAATGTTGCAGGTGGCTTTATGGATCAATAGCCATGTGGCTCTTGGCATGATGCATGAATTATAACTGTGGGCCTCATGTCTGAGGGATGTGAGCTTCTACTTGAAACAGAGGAGTTTTTACATTTCTGAAAAACATATGTGCCACATGGAGATGCATACAGTTTGCATTTCCACTTGAAAGCGACAGCTTTTGCATCTCTACCGCAATTAAAAAAAAAAAAAAATCTGACACTTAATTTAGGTGAGCTGAAGCACTTGGAAAGCACCAGGCATCACTGTAGAGGAAACTGTCTGCGTCCATCCCAGCCATGCTCATCATCATCAAAGTGATGGGTTGGATTCTTAGGTGGAGGTACAACGTGAAATCTGTTGCTTTCTCCTTGGGTCCCTTCTGTAGTCGGAGCACTTTCACTGTTGGCAGCTGGTGCTTGCAAGGGTGAGGCTTGGCTCTTCCAGCCAACTCCGTAACCTCCTCTCTAGCCATCTGCTTCTCGGGTCTCTGTACAGTCACTTTGTGGGAGATCATGTTTGTCAAGATATGCCTCACTTTCAGATTTCAGAAATGTGTCAAAAACTCCGGCAAAAACGCTTTTCCTCTGCATAGTCTTGTGTTTAAAAAAGACAACATAGAACTTTGGCCTGATCCAGCCCTTGGAAGTGTTAGCTGTGGGGTCTGCAAGCAAAATGCCATGCTCCGCTGTAAAGATTCTGCCTTAGAAGCCACCATGTGTGTCAGCAAGCATGGGAATGACCTTCAAGATGCAAAGGGGTAGGTGGAATTTTCTTCCAGCTTCAGCTGAAGAAATGGGAGACGGGATGGTCGCACACCAAGACATCTTCTGCTTCTGCAGTCTAATACCTGTCATGAGCTACAGGCAGGGCAGAGCAGCCACCAGGATTACAGACTCAGCGGAGCGCTTACAGAAGAGGAAGAGAACTCAGTATAAAATACGTTGTAATGGACAGCAGGATTTTTCTTTCAGTGCTGAATGTCTTTGCCACCAGAGAATGGAAAGTGATGCAAAGTCCAGAGTCCCGGAGGACCCCACAGTCGGGAATTCCTGCCTGGGACATTTCTGGTGTACTTTTACCCTCGGGCTCTGTCTGCTCCCAGGAGACTCAGCCAGGGGCATGGACAAAGCATGCTGAGTTCCTGCCCCTCAAACTTGATGTGCAATCACTTCTTCAGTCTGGTCTTATTTCTCACGAGAGCACTCGGGTTTACCTCCAAGCTTCCTGCATCTCCAAGGATGGAAGCTGACTGGGTAGTGTCTGTTGTTCAGCGCTGCTCTAACGAGGTATGAAATGTTGACTTCATCCGTAGGAGGGGTTCTGGGAGACATCCTGGGTGCCAAGTGGGAAGGAATTGCTGCCCTGAGATAGCAGTGACACATGTCCCCTCTTCTGTTCGGGCAACAGCCAGCCCCTGGTACTTGATGCCATTAAAGAAACCTGCAAGTCCAGCAACCTGACACCTTGACCTTACAGTCACATCAGCTTTGCGCCATGCAGTTGAGCGTGTCTCCCATTCTCCTGTCTCATGGTAGCCAGACTTTGAAAGACTTTTGAGGGTGTATTCCGCCATCAGGCGAGGTTCCTTCTGCCATCCAGGATGTGTGTATCACTCTGGCATGGGACAACAGGGTGCAGGTACGTAGCCATTGATTTCGTGTGATCTGCTTCAGCTTTCTTTCAAAACTGTTCTCTGGGAATAGTAGCATCCCCCTGAAGATGGAGAGCTGTTCCTGGAGCCCCTTAGTGCATTTCCCCATGAAGCTGGACTAAGGTTCAGAGTTCCCCATGCATTTGTACCGTTACAGTCTTATGCTGTTGTGTAGGCTAAAGGTTTATAATTCTGAACATTTTCACAGGCACAAGAGCAGGAGGACCGTGAGCCAGGGCTTGGCGCGCTGGGGTCCATAGCAAATCTCCACTTCATCTGACTCAAGTTACACCCCTGCTGCCATGGCACTTTTTGCGGTGTCTTCTAGACATTTCCAGTCCTGGTTTCCTTAGTGCTCAGACCTTTGTCCGCATTCATCCTGCCCAGCAAGGTGACTCTCTTTGATGTTCAGTGTTTCTGGAAGATTTAAAGATACTTCTTCACTTGGGCCACTGACAGCGTTGGTTGTAGGGATGTGGGAAGAGACCTGAAAGATGAAAGGCTTGTATTGCTGTCTTGACAGAGCAGGACAAACTGGCAACCAGTCTTCCAGTTTGTTTTTCTCCCTTGATGTGTTTAGAAGTCAGTGGGTTACCACTTGACATCTTAAGATTTCCAAGTGTGTTGGAATATGTCGCCTGGTTTCTAGCTGGTTGGAAATCCAGGACAGTATCACTGTGCAGGGAGGAGGCTCTGCTGAGCATTTCCCATAGCGAGGAAGGCAGAAATGGAGTTTTGCAAGCACAGGCTGAATTGCCTGTGCATTGGCAAAAGAAGTCTGCACTGGTTTCCATGGCCGCGCAGTTGCATGGTTCTCATTATAGCAAAGAAGCAAAATATATCTGTTTGTATTTTGATTTCTTCCATACATGTCATCCCTGTGGGTCTTTTCTGTAGACTGAGATCCTAGGTGAGTTTTCCAGCTTGTGCTTTTTGAGATGATGGTGTTACAGGGACTGAGAAAAGCATTAGACTTTGTAAGAAGTGAATGTAACGAGTGATTTAAAATACCTCAGGGCCCTAACTAGAAGACCAAAAGAGTCACAGTGAGATTATCTTTTCTCTTTCAAAGAGTTTGTGTTTGGGAAGTGTTCCTGAGATTTCTTGTAATTAATGGCTGGGTAGCTACTCTCAGTGGCAGGCTTAGTATCATACCTGAGGCTCAGATCTTCAGACATTTAAGCACGGCCGTAACTTCACGTGTCTGAGCAAGAGGCAGGTGCTTGGAAGCAACAGTTGTTCCTGTTTGAGGAGGAAGCTCTTTGGAAAATTTGGCCCTGGCTCTTCCTGTCTAATGCAGCCCCTGGTATGTGTGGGCGGAGAAACTCAAGGACTGCTCTTCATTCATTGTACCATGCATGGCCGCAGTCGCTTTTGGGCAGTCATGTGCCACTGTTGTGATGGGACAGCTTGTCCGATGGGTCTCTGTTCTTGCTGTGCAGGGACAACTGTTTGTGTAGGAGCATTCGGGAGGTGGTAGACCAGGGGGTTCTGAAACAGGAATTGGTATTTCTGCAGGTCTCTTGACTGAGGGAAGCGGGGAGAAACCTGGGATCAGGAAGTGGAAGGTGAATAGTGAATCCCAAGTTGAAGCTCTGGACAAAGATGACGACAAAGCAGGAGGTGTCAGTGCCAAGGAACGGAAGGAGCCTCAAGAAAAAGCGACATCCAAGAAAAGTTTTGTCTGCAAAGCCTGCGAGAAGACCTTCCACTTCTACTGCCGCCTGAAGGTGCACATGAAACGTTGTCGGGTGGCCAGAGGAAAGCAAATCCAGTGTAAGGAGTGCAGCGAGGTCAAATCGACGAAGAAGGAGCTGGAGAAGCATCAGCTTGAGGTCCATGGGGTTGTGGGGACAGCCAAGAAGAAGAAGAAGAGGCTCCCTGTGGCCTGTGACATCTGTGGCCGAGAGTTTGCTCATGCCTCAGGTAAGGTTGGTGGAAGCAGGTGTATTTGGACAGAAGCTTGGACGATGCAATAAAGCAATATTCTGAAATCTTCTCCTCCTCCCTGCAGCTCTGTGAGCATTGTGTGTGAGAGATGTGGCTCAGCTCATTTCTCCTGCCCCACTGAGCACAAGCGCTTTCTGATTAGTTCTCACCTAATTGGTTTTCCACATGGCTCATCAAGGAAAAGTGGGGCTACTGGCAAATTTAAAAGCTTCCAAAAATAATCAAGCTGTTCCAGTTCTATGGCTGGTTTATCAGGGCGAGTAAGAGGAGATGAGTCTCTTTGCCTTCCCCGGGGCAGCTCATGATATCCTGGTGGACATCCAGGCTGGAGGACACTGGTGGACCCCTGGTGTCGCGGGTGGGCTGGTGGACCTCCAGGCTGGGCGGAGTGGTACCTCTGCAGCAGGGTTGGGTGGGTCTGGCACTGGGTCCCACCAGTGCCACCCTGGTGTCCTGCCTGCCTCCCCAGGGATGCAGTACCACAAGCTGACGGAGCACTTTGATGAGAAGCCCTTCTCCTGCGAGGAGTGCGGGGCCAAGTTTGCGGCCAACTCCACGCTGAAGAACCACCTGCGGCTGCACACGGGGGACCGGCCCTTCATGTGCAAGCATTGCCTGATGACCTTCATGCAGGCCTCGGCCCTCGCCTACCACACCAAGAAGAAGCACGCTGAGGGTGAGTCTTCCCTGCGGGAGCCTGGCCATGGGCTTGTCATGCTCCATCCACCCCTCCCTGCCCTGTCCCTTCATCTGCCTCCAGGCCGCTTCCCCATCCTTTAGGGGAGCCCTGGGCAGCTGGCTGCTCCCAGATTTCCTTCACCCACATGGCTTTGGGGGCAGTTCCTCACTCTGCCTTTCCCCCATCCCCTTCTCCAGGTCCTCCGATTAGCCACACTGTTAGCTGTTTGCTCTGCATTAAGGGCGTCTTCATCTGGCTCCCTTGTTTTTCTCCTCAGTAGCTCTGTCCCCTCATATCTGGATTCCTGCCATGTGTCCTCCTCCCTCTGGTTAACCTGCTTTCTCCCATCCCTCCCTCTGGCTGAACTTCACGTAGTTTTTCATGCCAGTGCTTCTCCTGCCCCTGCACCCAGCCCGTTCCACTACCAGGGCATGCGCATGTTGCAGCTGGGCAATTGATTTTGCACATGAGACACACCAGCATGTAGTACCTCCAGACACTTGAGATCTTTAGTAATTTAATACTCCCTGTGCAGGTGTGGTTTTCTTCAGCACCTCTAGGACCCTGCACTGAGATGCTCTGGCTACCCCAGGAAAGCCTGTCCACTGTGCAGTCTTTTCCCTCTCCCTCTGAAATCAGGCGTAGTCCAGGCAGAGCTCCTGTCCCGTCAGGTGCAGGCTCTCACCCTGGGTGTCTCTACAGGGAAGATGTACGCCTGCCAGTACTGCGACGCCGTGTTTGCCCAGTCCATTGAGCTGTCACGCCATGTCCGGACTCACACGGGGGACAAGCCGTACGTCTGCCGGGAGTGTGGGAAAGGCTTTCGCCAGGCCAACGGGCTCTCCATCCACCTCCGGACCTTCCACAGTGAGTGTGGCCAGCTGTCTCCCTAGCTTGGGCAGCCAGCCTGCAGGGCACAGCTTCTGTGGGGTCATGGCAGACCCATCCATGCCAGTGGAGGCTTGCGTGGGTGTTACTGGTGCCTGCAAGCTGGCTGGGTGTCTCGTGGTGGGATTTTTCCCTCCCAAGCAAATCACAGAATCCCAGCAGGGCAGGGGTTGGAAGGGCCCTCTGGGGATCATCCAGTCCAACCGCCCTCCCCAAGCAGGGTCACCCAGAGCAGGCTGCACAGCACCGCGGCCAGGCGGGGCTGGGATATCTCCCGAGAAGGGGACACCCCAGCCTCCCTGGGCAGCCTGGGCCAGGGCTCCGTCACCCTCAGAGGGAAGAAGTTCTTCCTCGTGTTCAGCTGGAACTTCCTCTGCTTCAGTTTGTGCCCGTTGCCCCTTGTCCTGTCGCTGGGCACCACTGAAAAGAGTCTAAAAGGAAGACTCTGTAGTGGTTTTATGCTGTGAGTAGTGTTATCCCAAAGAAAATACCAAGGGTGGCTTCCAGCAAACCTTAAGCTGCTGGGAACCTACCATGGGAAGCTGTAGGTGAGCAGAAGCAGCAACATCTCTATGCAAAGCTGAAACTCCAGTGCTAGTTTTTGTCTGGGAAGTAACAAGCTGCTGTTTCCCTTTTTCTTTCCTGCCTCTGTGAATTCTCCTCTTAATTCTTTTCTTTTTTCCTTGATTTCTTTGTCCCCTGTGCTTCTCGTTGCATTTCTGGGTGGCAGACATCGAAGATCCCTACGACTGCAAGAAATGTCGGCTGAGCTTTGCCACGCTGCAGGAGCACCGCAAGCACGTCCACGAAGCCCACTCCCGGGAGTACCACCCCTGCCCTACCTGCGCCAAAGTCTTCAGCGCCCCGTCGCTGCTGGAGCGCCACGTCGTGACCCACGTCGGGGGAAAGCCCTTCAGCTGCGAGATCTGTGACAAAGCTTACCAGGTGAGCTGGTGCAGCGAGGATTTGGTCTCGTGTGTTGGAGGTTGCCGTTGCCTGGCTCCTGCAGCAGGATGTCTCTCCTGGCCATGCGCGCTGAGTGCAGCAGTTTGTGGTCAGCAGAGGGAAAAATTGCACTGAGGAGGAGGCAGAATCCGTAGGGAGAAGGCAGGTCCATGGAGAGAGATGGGCTGTGACTGCAAAGGGCTACACACCAGTCCGTGTGGACTCTCAGGAATCTCTTTCACCCAAGTTTCTAGCTGCCAGAAAGCACAGGAATGAAAATTCTCATGTTGCAAATGGCGTGCCACAGTGGGAGTGTGTGTGTGAGCACATCCCTACAAGGGAACAAAAATTCATGCCCAGAGAAGACCTACAGTGAGTGAGACGAGGGTGAGGGATTCGGCAGCGTTCAGCCCTGCAGGGGCAATGGAGAAACAGAAGTTGAGGTGTTAGCTCTTGTCCTGTGTGAGGATGAGCAGGTCTTGTACCTGCTGAGCACAACCTCGCTATTGCTGCTGCTTTCCACGCAGTTTCTTGCTGTCATGATGCCCCTGGAAGAGCTTTGGATTGTAACCATGGTTTGATCCTTATCATTGCAGCAGTTGTCAGGGTTATGGTATCACAACCGGACCCACCACCCTGATGTCTTTGCAGCTCAGAATCACCGCTCCTCCAAGTTCTCCTCCCTGCAGTGCAGCTCCTGTGACAAAACCTTCTCCAGCACTGCTGCTCACCGAAAGCACGTCAAGGCAGAGCACGCAGGTAACGGCCCGTTTGTCAGCGAACAAAAACACGCAGTGACTGCTGGGAGAGACGTAGCCATAACTCTGATAGGACAGGGTTGTGCATCTCGTTTACCTGCAAATCACAGTAGATTCTTTGTAACCTGTAGCAATCTCTTCTGGCAAGTCTCACCTCGGTATCTTGCACCTCGCTTGCTCTTGGCCTCTCCTTTTCCTGCCTTGTCTCCAAAGATGCTCCTCATGTCTGTATGCATGTGTGGTGTTGCTGAAATACTAACAGAGCTCTGGTCCAGAAGGTCTCTTGTAGAAGACCCTGAGTGCACACTTTTCTGTTCTTGGCCTTGTTTGCAGATGTGAAGTTCCACGAGTGTGAGGCGTGCAAGGAGCTCTTCCCCACGCTGGCTCTCCTGCAGGTCCACGTGAAGTGCAGGCACTCAGGTCTGTTACCTTTGCTGCTGTTGGTGTTAGCCTTGTGAGCAGTGACTGCTCCTCTCGGTAAGTGAGGTCTGAACTGCACGTGGGAGAGTGAAGATGGACATGGTAAGGAAGCGGAATGTGAGGAAACAGGAAATACAGATGAACTGGAAAATCACTGGTTTTGGTGAGGCTGACACAAGTTTAAGCTTCTGGAGCCACTGGAGTTAAGGAGGGATCTGTATTTTCTTGTTACAGTAGAGAAGGGAGCTAAGTGAAGGCGAGGAGACTTCAGCGCAGAGGAGTGAGGAAGTGAACCTTGGGCGTGGGGGTTTGTAGAGGATGAAGCTGGTGGGAGACTGGAGAAAGAGGGAATTTAGCACCAGAAAGATCAGAGAGGGACCTGGGCTTGAGGAGACCACATCAAAGGCCCTTTGGCCAATGGGCAAGCTGAAGCAAGGCTGTGTGGGCAGGGTGAACTGGCAGACCAGGTACTACAAAAGGTGAGCTGTGCATGGGATGGCAGGAGAGGAGATGGATCAGGAGATGTTGGAGGGGGCAGCCAACAGCAGCCTGGAGAGCGAGGAAGAAGACCTAAACATAGCTCTGTCTGAGAGGAGACAGCCCCTGGGGTGGAGAGTGGGTTTGGAATAGCTGAATCGGGAGGTGCAAGCCTCGTCAAGGAGCAGTGCTGGATGGTGTAAGGGAGCAGGGAGAAGAGATGTTTGTGAGAAAGGACAGTCAGATACACCAGCCTGGCTTCTGAGCGCCCATGCTGCAGGGAGCTAGAGCTAAAACAGACCTCAGCAGCCACAGACTGTCTGACAGACAGAGAAGGGACGCTGGCACACGCCGTGAGTCCCTGGTGGGTTTCAGCCCTGCGTGTCCTGGCCGTTTGCAGCTCCCTGTGCCCTTGGACCGGCCCTGGCCGCCACAGCCCGGGCTCAAGGCCGGCCTTCTCCCTGCAGGCTCCCAGCCGTTTCGCTGCTTGTACTGCTCGGCGTCCTTCCGCTTCCCCGGGGCCCTGCAGAGCCACGTCACCAGCGAGCACTTCAAGCAGACGGAGAGCACCTTCACCTGCGAGCTCTGCGGGGAGCTCTTCCCCTCCCAGGGTGAGCTGGAGGGACACTACAGCGCTGAGCATCCCAAGGTGGTCCTCTCCCAAGCCACCACGGCCCAGATTGTGCAGGTAAAGACTGCTCTGCGCTGCAGCCCCTGTGGTTGTTCATCCATCCTCCCCCTCCAGCCCCCTTACGCTTCCCAAATCCACCCTGCGGTTTCTGTCACCCCTTCTGCTCCCTGATTCCCTCTTCTTAGAAGGGTCCAGGGTGCAAGCCCCCCAGCCCCCAGTGCGCTGGGATTTCTGTGCTGGTGTGAGGCGGGCTTGCTGGAGGGGAAGCGGCTCAGTCCTGGTTGTGGGAGCCGAGGGGGAGGGACTGACAGCGTGTGCAGAGGTGCCTGGTTACTCAGGGGTTATTAACACAGAGCTCTTATTGTCTACAACTGCTTGTGGAGCTAAATTATAGCAATTTTGTGGAGAGAAATATTTAAATTACTCTCCTGTCTTCTCTTTTGCATCGTCGGGGTGTGTGTGGTTTGGTGTTTCCCATTAGTCTCACGCCTCTTGTAATTGCAGACCTCTGGCGTGGAGCTAAATGTTATTACCAGAGCCGGGGCTGGGGAAGATGTGGGTGGCAAAGTGATTGTGGGGAAAGTGGTGCTGTGAGTGTCTGACTCTCAGGTCGTCTTCTGTGCAGGTGCTTCAGACGTCGGAGCAAGGAGCAGCAGAGCACATCATCTCTTTCGACGAGGCCCAACTCGCTGGCTCCCAAGTCTTTGTGACCTTGCCTGAATCCCAGATGAGCCAAGCTGGTTCCGAGCTGGTGGCAGTGACCATGGAGGACTTGTTTGATGACAAAGTCACTCTGATTTGTGAAGAAACCAAGGGAGACTGAGAGGTGGGTGCCCATGCATGGCACCTGGTGTCCATTAGACTTGTTCGGGAGCTGTGCCTCAGCGTGCTGCTCCAGAAGCGAGGTTCAGGGTTTCTTTGGGAAAGCAGCCCTGGCCACGCAATGCTGCAAAAAGAAATGGCATGCAGCAAGCAGAGCATGGCCAAGGACAGGAGAGGCTTGTAGACATTCATAAGGGCCTGGGAAGTCTCCATGCAGTCAGCAGCTGCCAGCTTGGGTGAGCTGGACCGCTCATCCCTCCCGGCTTGAGAGAAATAAAGAAGCAGAGGAAAAGACGGGAACTGAGTGTGTTCACGTGTGGTCCTCCACGGCTTCGAACAGAGTGGAGAGGAGGAGACTAGTGCAGGACAAAGCTGGGGTGGTGTGCGTATGTGAAACCAAAGAAAAAGCTGCCCTGAGAATTCAGGCTGGAGATTTTTGGGGCTGAAGGAGTGCTGTGCTCGCAGGTACCTGCTGCTCTGCAGGCTGAGTAAGGGCTGCTTTGGTTGTTCTGTCGCTGCCCCCTGTACCATTGCGCTGCCTGTTGTGCCAGCTAGAGAAGTCCTCCAGCGCAGAGCTGACATTTGGGCCTCTCTGCTCAAGTGGAGACTTCTCAAGAGTTGTGCTAAACGGCTTTGGAGCTGTTCAGGTGATGCCTTGTGTGGCACAGGCCTGATCCCATGCCTTTATTTGCTGCGGCTGTCCATGATGAAGGTTCATGGGCAGGCACGGACATCCACATCCTATTTGCGAGCAAAGGGCCCCGAGATCTCCCACCCCTCCTCTGATTCACCGAGGACGTGCTGATATCTGAGAGAGGAGAAGGAGCTGTGCCTGCGTGCCAGGGCCTCTCATTACTGGTATCAGTGGTTTGGCACTAATTAAGACATTTCAGTCGGAGTATGCAGTAGCTGCTGTGACTGCGCATAGATATTCCCCGTGGCACGCAGGGCACTGCTTTGTAAAATGCATTCAGATACCTACTGTAAAGTTTGCTTCTGTGCTGCCGGCACGATGCAACAGCTTCATTGCAGCACGCTGGCCCCTTTAAGGCTAGGTTTCATAAAGGTTTTTTATCTGCAGTTTCCTAAAATATAATCTGATAATTAATGGTTTGCTGAATCCATTATGAAGTGCAATTAGATAGATGCAGGGTTCCTGTGGCTCTGAGGGAACTGGTAGCATTTATCTTCCTTTCCCGTGTGCCGTAAGGCTGAACTCTGCCACTGCCATATTTACAGACGGAGCGGTGATCCCCGCCGCATTCTCGCAGCCGGAGACCCTGTGGCGAGCAGCGCCCGGTTTATCACGCTGCCCGGAGCCACGGGAGCGCGGGAGATGAGCAGGCTGGAGTTTTCCAGCAGCATCTTGTGCTGGCTGCTCACAGCCACCAGGCAGAGATGGCCGTGCAGCAGCGTGCCAGGCTGGTTGTGCCAGTAAGATCGTTTGTTTTTCCTGTTACAGCTTGGAGAAAAGAAGTGAACAGCAAGGGCTGACCCCAGGAGAGCTGCCTGGTGGAGCTCATGTTCTGCATGTCATTTTTTTTATGTGTGTGTGTGGCAGCGAGCCTGTGACCCTGTTGAAGTGTTGCATGTGTCTCGAAGGGCTCCCAGCTTACTCTTCCTCGGTTGCGTGGGTGGCTTTGTCCCCCAGGCTTCGCAGTGCTGCTGAAATGGAGGAAGCACGAGGTGAAGTTGCCACTGAATCCAGCAGTGACCAGGAGATGGTGCTCAAGGTCTTGAGGATTAGCACTAATGGCCAGGTGCCTCTGCACCTTTGCTGAAGCTGCTCTTGGCCTTCCCAGGCCTTGCCCAGCTCCTGGGCTGGCAGGCGTGGAGAGACCTTGAGCCACTGCCAAGCTGAAGGACAACTCCAAGCCCTGGACAGGACCCCTCCAAACCCTGTGTCACCAAAACCAGAACACCCTGGATATCACTGCTTAAAGAGCCCAAAACTGGGCTGTGGCCACTTGTGGAGTGGGTAAATTATGTTTGTGACTGAGGTAGAGCAGCGAAAAAGCCTGGGATCCCCCTCAGCCAGGAGGAGAGCGGAGAGGGAGCTGCTGAAGACCAGCTCATGCCTGCCTGGACACAGAAGAGCTGTGCGTGGCACTTAGGACGAGCACAGGGATAATGACAGAAAAAGCAAGTACATCTCGATGGTCTTGGAGCAGATGTGTTGGGAGGTAAGCGGTCGATGTCGTCCCACCGGCCGGTGGAGATGGAAGCTGTTCCCCCTGTTCTGGCTCCGCGGGGGCTGGGAGCTGTGGAAATCCTGCGCAGGCTGTGCCAGGGCTCTGGAGCAGGGGGCGAGTCGTCCAGGCAGTGCTTTGCAGATGTCCTGGCCCTCGTTTGGGAGCCAATATCCGCAGGGAGCGTGAGGTGAAGCTGATCTCCCTTTGTTCCTTGACGACACTGGAGGAAGACTAAAGGTTTAGCAAGGCTTGGGGAGAAGTTGCCTTGTTCATAGCCCTCTCAGAAGGCAGAAGGGGAGAGCGTGTGAGTGATGCATTTTGGCTTTGGTCCGTGTGGTCCCTGCTGACCGAGCGTGGTCGCAGTTGAAGGGGGACGGTGTGGATCACAACAGGCGCAGTTCAGGCTCCCGTCTCCTGCTCAGGGCCATCTCTCCTGCCTTTGTGTCCAGCAGGAGCCTGCATGGACGCATCCTCGGCAGAGTCCTGCCGGCAGTATACACCCAGTGAGAGCTCTGCAGCTGTACAGAGACCATCAAGCACCTCCTGTATCATTATGAGGAGATAATAACTCCGATCCCCCTGTTCCAGTTCCTTCCTGATGGATGAAATACGCACGTCAGAGCAAACTGCAGTGTTAGCAACACCTGTGTCCTCCTGGACATTTCCCAGGGCACATCCTGGTCTGGTGTGCGCGCCGCTGAAGATGCTGATGGCGAGCAGTTTCTTGTTATGCTGCATATTCTTTTTTTTTTTTTTTCTCTGTAAAAATAAAACATGGAGAATGAAAGATGTAGCTACAGATTGTCAAGTGGAGCAATTGACTGGAAAGAAAAATCCTTGTTTCTGAAATCGTGCTTTTTGCGGGTCTTCTCCCAGGTGCTGGAAAAAGGGCCGAGTGCCTGCAACAGAAGCCTGGGGAGTAACATCTGATGGAGAGTGTTAGATCAGTTAATGATTTATATATCTCCATGCATTAATTGGTGCTATTTAGGGTGCAGGACTAAGCTTGTGACTGGTTGGAAATGTCTGCTTTCTGCACAGCTTTCGTTCTGACCCGGTGTCTGTCCTGTTCGCTGAAGGATCCTTTGGAGAAAGGCAGGGTGCTGCTGGGTACGGCAGCGGCTGCGAGCAGCCCTCGCTTGGCATTTACCAACACAAAGTGTAATTTTGCAGCCCCAAGGTGTTATTTTAACACAGTATATGCAAATTCTGTGCTCTGGGCTTTTTTTTGTTTGTTTGTTTGTTTTTGGTTTTAAATCCTACCCATCTGTGATTAGGTACAAAGATGCTGCTGCCTTGCCCGGGAGCGAGGGATGGAGGTGACGGGAGCACGGAGAGGGCTCGGGTGCTGCTTGAAGCCTCTCCCGGGGGAGAGGAGGAGGAGAGCGGGTACCAGCGGTCTGACAACCCTCCCCGTGGGCCGGGCAAGCCCTGGCAGCCCCTGCGCCCCGGCTGATGCTGACGTCTTGGCCGATTTCATTATGGGTCTGGCCGACGGCCAGCGCGTCCCCGGCGAATTCGAGCACTGGAAAAGGGAAGCGACATTTCCAACGGCCTCCAGCCCAGCAAAGGCCGAGCGGTGTTTCGCAGAGCGGAGACGGGACGCGTCGCCAGCCCGAGGGAACTCCCTCTCCCGAGTGTCGGTGGTGTGCTGCAGACGGCAAGAGCCGAGGCGCTTCCCTGATGGGCTCAGTAACCTCTTGTCATGGGGAGGATCAGGCTGGCTGGTGGAGGGGGCTCGGCTGCCTCTCCGGCGTCGGTTAATGGGGCTGATCCCCCCACACCAGTTAATGGGTCTGATCCCCCAACACAGTCAGCGCTGCGATGCCTCACTGCGCTAAGTCACCACAATTCCCAATTTCCTGCGCTGAAATAGTAATTCCTCTTACCGGGTATGCAGCCAGCCTTTCGCACACCGTCAGAGCGCAAGCAGAAGCTCTCGCTTTGCCTTCCCTGCACCATTTGTGTTTCCTCAGAGCAAAAAATCTGCCCAGGTTTCTAATCATATTTAAGCAAACCTATAAAGTGCAGCTCGTAGTCCACTTAGTACGAGACACGTGGATGCTGCGTAGCTCCTGCTGGGAAGTTGCTATGTATAGCTCTTATCTACAGAGGGGAGCGGGGCTGGGAAGCGCCCGTGGGTCAGACCATGGCACCCGTTTCTGTGACCTGCAAGGGAACGGAAAGTCCTTGCTGGCAAAGCCTGTGGGTGAGGCGGAGGCGGGGGGAGGGGAAAGGAGCAGCAAAGACGGGGTTCGGGATGTCTGACAGCGTCCCGAGGTCGGCTGGCCGTCACTGGACGTGTGTGGAGCCCTCGGCGATGTCTGGGGGCTTCAGTAGCGGCTTCTGGCAGAAGCCTGGACGTGTTTGCTGCTGCCCCTTCTCCGAGCGTTGCTGTGACCAGATGTCATTCCCGTACAGCTGCTCACCCACAGCAGCGTATGACAAGTAAGTGACAAACCCGAGGCTGTGCAGGCAGTGACAGAATCACAGAATCCCAGCATGGCAGGGGTTGGCAGGGACCTCTGTGGGTCCCCCAGCCCAACCCCCTGCCCAAGCAGGGTCACC